GCATCAGGTGAAATATATCCCTAGAGTACCCTTCAATGGATCAGCATTTACGGCAGTGCATGATAGAACGTGACTGAATCGTGACACCGCGTTATTGTCTGAAGATGAACTGCTCACAGGCACACCTTTTCTCATCGATTGCACCCTATCAAAACAGGTGGGTAAGGGAGTTAGAGGATATTTTGGCCGCAGCTTCCCGGGTTCTCACGGAGTGTTCGAAGCGAGATACGAACGATGGAGAGACTCAAGTCCATCAACGACCCCTCCCGACGGGGCAGCGTCCTGCATGACTCAAGAATCTAGGGCAGACAGGGAGTTCATGGTGAAATGTTGGCTGGGCCGAAATTTTTAGGATATCAGAGAAGTAAAGCGCTTGTCTCTACAAGATTCCAAGATATTTAGGCAGTGGGGGTCCAGATTTTTTTAGATGCTTGTGCCTTTATGACCGAGAAATGATACCGGACTTTCGGCTTGTGAACATTCGTTAGAAATTAAAATCAAAGCACAGTCTGCTTGGTTAGTTATCAGAACTATTAGCTCATATTCCGTTTCTGAATATTACTCCGGCTGGTACATATTGCTAATGGGAATTGCTTGGTCACTTCCATCTGTCAGAAACTCGGAGGTGACCCAAGGTTCAGGAAAGCATGAGGGCTTCAGTTTAGAGGCACAAAGGATCGATGATCCAAGCAGTATTGAGACAGTTATCCATAAAGGGGTCCAATTCAAAACCTGATCATGCTGCCGCCCATGAAAACTGCACAATGACTTTCTTCGCAAATCCTGAAATTTAAAGTTCCGTTTCTTCACCCCTTTTCGCACATTTTACCTATCATATCTGAAACATGAGACTGTTATGTGTAACACTCAGTTTCCTACGAGTACATTTTTTGTATCTTGGATGTCGTCCGCGTCAAGACATACGGTGGCTGGCTTCTACCGCAGTCCTCCCGCATCCTTTCTCAGGATATTGGAAAAGTGTGTTTGATGCAGGAAGTGATTTTTCTATTCGCTGAGCAGATGATAGAACTGCTGCTACCCCGACAAACTAATAGATGGCATTATCCCATTGAATATGTGTCGGTAGGTATCTCGAGAATAAAGAAAGGACAGGGCTTCGTAAGAGGTATGGGTGCTCAGTATACCGCCTCATAATGAGAGCTGTTCTTGCCGGAATGTTTCATGAGTTGTCGCTGGACAGTTTCACTGTGACCCTGCCAAGGTTCGTTGGTCATAGGGGTAAACTTAAGGCCATACTCTGTGACAATGGCAGTACTCATGTGGGTACCTACAGAGAACCAGAAAATCACTCTGCTGGCTCGAGTAAAATTTCGCGACGAATTTCTAAAAGAAGTGTCTGGTGACACTTCAACCTCACACAATCCAGCCATTGAGAGGGCCCGTGGAAAAGGCTCATGAACGTTATAGGACGCTCATTGGCTTACCAAGTGCGAGGTCATGGGGCTTTTGATGAGACGCTTGAATGGCTTTTGGATGAAACAGAACGAGGTCTTAGCGACAGACCGCTACAACCAGTGTGATATGATACCCAGGCCAGCGATGCTTTAGCGCCGTTCGCGCTTTTGCCACTAAGATATGGTGGAGGCCAGCAGGTAGTGCATTTCGAAGAAGGTCGTCTGTAGGGAGATGGAAGCAAGCAAAGAAAACGGCGAATAAATTTTAGAAAAGACAGAAAAAGGAGTAAACATCAACGCCTTAAATGACAGCCAAGCAGCAACAACCTATGAATTACTTCCAAGCGGGACATGTAGGTCTTGTGGTTGACAAGACCTGTTTAGGCGACAGGCTGCTGGGGGTGATTGCGGGCACTCACCCAAATGAAGATGTAGCAAGGACTTTTGAGTTATCAACGTAAGCGATGTGCGAAGACTGTCTCTAAGAAAGAGTGGAGGAAGAAACTTGCCGTGTTGAAGTTAAAGTTGACCTTCCCGCCCAGAAAGATCGTTAGTCGATGAGGTGTGCAGCCGCAAGCCCAGTAATTTCTAGGTGGATAGTGTACCATAGCATCGTCCGCGGAATCAGGTCCACCACCAAAAGGAAATGTGTAGTACAAATTTATACATATATTTGTGAGCTATATATTTCGATTTGAAACTTGTGATTATTTGTTGCATTTGAAATGAGTCCTTTACGACACTGTGTCGATGTTGCTAATCGTATCCTGTCCCTTTCTGCTTACAGGCCACCTGGGTGATGTCAACGCCAAGTTCAGCTCAAGTACTGGGCCTGGCCCAGTAGCCGTGGCTTTTAATGGCATACTTTTTGTGTTACTTGACTTCCGCTGGCCTTGCACACCACGTTTGTTTCCTGTTTCTTCTTTTGTCCTCTTTTCCGGTGATAATCGAGTTTAATGAACTGCTCGTGACATGCATGCAGGCTATGGCCGGCTTAGTGGTTATGAAGAGTTTTATGATGAGGGATTTGAACCGGAAACGAATGAAAGGATCTATGCCGTAGATGTGAATGGGTAGCCAGGAACATGGAAGGACGCTCGCGTTGTACATACGAAAAGTGCATCGTGAGGTAAAGCCTTCCGATGTAAGGCAGTATGGACGACCAGAGTCGGCGGGCGCCAGATGAAGAACCCACCGGGAAGGAAAGTTTCATCGCTCCCATAGGTGACATGGGGTCGAATGTTTGTTGACGGCTTTGAATCAGGAAGGTGTTCGCCGTCTGGTTCTCCTTGCTCAGCCAGTCTTATGTGTGTGAATTCTGCCACAGCGATGTGTTTTGCTACTGGTTTGGCAGCGAGGTATGTCACCGAGGTTGTGAACGCTGTTATCACTTGGGCCAAGAGAGATACATATCGCGGGGTGCCGATCACCACTGTTGTCGGTTACACAAGGTTTGTGTCATACAGAACGCCTATTGTTACCATCCAAAGCCCTATACTAGTGTGGGGCGAGGATGGTAAATTGTTAGGGCGCAGGCGTTGAGTAGCGGGGAGTCTGCCTAACCACCATAGCAGGCAGAATGCGGTACATAGAAACCCCAGGTATGAAACTCTGCCGCTGCATGCTTTTACTGGAGGTGTGGCCATTGATGCATTTGTCTTCCAGTGTGCCAGGTTATACATGAGATTCGTAACCAGCTCCTCAAAAATGGAGCAAAACCACTAGTTGGGGTGCATGTCTGCTGTATTCTCTTGCCTTTCATTTACTTTCCGCTGTGGCTTTTCTTGATCGGGGCCAGTTTTCCGCGGTAAGAGGTAAGTCAGTGCACGACTTCTCTATCCCAAAAGAAAGCACTGGAAGGTCCCTACCTTTGTGCTTATTGGACATGTGTAAAAAAGATGGTGTGGTCGCACCCTCATCCTCCCCCACTGAAGTTCCACCCTACCACAGTGGCCGAAAATGTTTGTTCGTGCACCTTGACCTTGTCAGTTGATTTTCATTCGCTATCGGACGACGAGAGTGACGTAACCACAAATACCCAGGCGAATTCTGACAACATTTATTCATAGGCCCCGAATGAGGCATCAGATAACGCCACAAAAAGTCTTTAAGATGACCCACTTGTGTTCTCCAACGTGTTCTTGTAAATGCCACGGTTTGATAGGAACTGTTCGACAGCCGATGTCCTATGCTTGAGCATCCTGAACGTATCATGAAAGTATTCCCGACAATCCACTCCTGCCACCTTTCGGTAGTAGCAAGTATCGCCTACGGCTGGATTCTACACTGACATCATAGTGTGCCAACGGTTAGAATCGCCAACGCCTAACCACCTGTATCTCTGTAACAGAAAAGTGCTGCACTTTTTCCGCAACTCTCGCGAAACCTTAATATAGAACAGCGGGAGACTGCCTCTCACCACCTAACAGCAAAACAAAATGCAACTCAGTACCGTTCACTTCACTTTGTGACTGCATCACATGCTTGATCGAAATACGTCGATCAGTGTTAAGCCGCAAGCACTAAACAGCCACTGACTTACGCTCTGTCCACAGACTCTAGTATATGACCGTATCATGCGTTCGGTCAGCATTGCCATGTGTAGTTTATGATTGTGGCTTCCAGCAGCGGTATTGATTGGCTGTTTTATGAACCACTGACGCAACACCAGTTTCATTATGGTTGTTAATTAGTGCTGCTAGTTTGTAGCAGCCTTCACATGGACAAGATCCAAGATGGCTTATCTATCCAGCTTGCCTTGTTAACTATCACGTGTTTTGAAGATTTTTCTCACCGTAAACTTTTACTTCCATCTGGTTCTCTCATTCTTCATGGTTTCGCAGTCATTTTTAGCGAGAACAATGGATTGTTCGTGCATAGCAGTCTGCTCTAACGGTCTGCTTAGCCCTCTTTGGATAGACATTTTCACACACAGAATTCTTGCTACATTGAGTATGAAGACAGAGTATGACAGACTACGGCACCAAACTCCAGGTTACTCCGTAGGAGTATGCCTAAAATCGGGTGAAATCGCCTGCAATTCAAGTACCTGAAATTCTTTTCAAGTTACCGGCACCAGTCTGCATGAAATGCGGTTGTAGAGTTTTGGCGACAGGGGCAGCCTGAGTCCTACCACAAACCTGCTACTTCTGGTTGAACTGCTGAGACATCAGGAATTAAGTGCTTCCTTTCTGAGCTGTGTCACGTTGACTTATTCAGAGTTAAGTGATAGCATATTAGTTTTTATTCTGGAAACCGCGTTAGCTCTTCATGTAAGGAAACTTTGTCTTCTTAAAACTGATTTCTATCCGTTTTTGCATGTTTTCAGTAAAAAGAAGGACATGAGAGGAAGCCAACTGAGGCGGTTCGTTCGTTTATATAAGGAAAAGAAGAGGCCCTAGTACTGAATCCTGAAGAGCACCTGGACATTCTCCCTCTTCAAATGAAGATCGGCAATGAGACTAAAATTCAAGAGGGCCCATCAAATTTATTTGTAACTGGTTGGAATTTTCAGCACCTTGAATAAGCATTATGTTGCAGTCCTTTTTGTTTATATGTTCCATAGTGCAACGTATAGGTGACCCTACTGCAGATTAAATGGTTTGCGCGCGCACGTTGTCTGATCCCGCCGGGGTTACGTCTATGGCTTCAGATAAACATGTGGAGCAAGAGGATCAGAATATAGTTTCGGAATTTTGTCATTTACTCGAAAAGTCGAAACAGTTATTCAATGGTTTACGGTATGATATGCAGTATTTATAAGTCTGGAATGTTCATTGAATGAATGTGTATATTATCAAAATATGTTAAAAAAACTCTTCGGTTGTAATAACAGATTGATTGATGAATTATTTCACGGTGTCACCTTTTACGGCTTGGTGCATCACTAGTTTATATTTTAGACTTGTTGTTGATCCATTCATTGCAAATAGGTTATCAAGATATAGATTTAGGAGCATTGGTCAGTACGAGTTATCGGGATACTGAGTTGTTAACTGAATTCAGACAGCATTAACACATACTATCTGGTCACCTTGAGTTTCTTGGCATATCCTTAGTTGGTTCTATGTTTTCTAAGAAAATATTTTTGAAGTGTTACTTTTAACAATTGCAGTAGTCAATTATAATTTACTGTAAGCAGTCAGTTTAATGTACCTATTGATCTTAGGTTCAATTCTGGTTAGTTCTATCAAATTTTCTGTGATGTTAACATTTCGATATGTCCTTTTATTCTACGTTAGTTGTAGATTTATTTGCCTTAAACTACAAGACCAGAGAGACTCTATTCAGCTTCTTTTAGTATTGCTTAGTGACTAACAACGTTGCCACACGACATACAAGCTTTCGTTTTAGCTAATTGACCACTTGCCTGCAGATGTATTCGGCAACTCACTACATGTCCACTGGGTGATGATTCATATCTGTTGCGTAAAACCTAATAATGTCCAATAACCCATTTCACCTCGTGACTCACTTACTGGAAACCAATCACTTTAGGCTGAGCTACAGCTTCGAGTTGCTATCACTACTGTGGTGTAATAGACGTATTATTGGCTAATAAGAGGTCAGATTCTCAGTCACTGTCAACCCGACCCAGCACTATTGCATAACGGTTCAAGTCATTACAATTCACTTGGTCGGATATCAGCAAAAGCGAAGAAGTGAAAACGAGTAGAAGGTATATAAGGGCTTTTTGTCGCATATATGTGGTTGTAACGTCTCATCATTGATTGACAGCTTATAAGTGGCTTTTATCCATATCTTGTTAAACGTGATACGTACTGTTTCTGATTTCAACATGTGCATTCATTGGTGTTTTCTTGGGTCTTAATACATGGATTATCGGAAGATCAACCGTCATATCGTTGTATACAGTGACACCTGAAACAATTGTAATCGGTAAGAAAATATTCATCTGAATACGAAAACTCGTGTGTGGAAAGCGTCGACTAAGAACAAAATTGTTATTGAATTTCATTGGGGTAGATGTAGGTATAAAGGGGGAATTCTAGAAATACATTGGTCTCAGTATCGTTGAAATATCCCAAACTGCGTCTTAATGAGAACTTACTATAATTTTTTATGGGTCACTGATTCAAATTACCTGCCTCAGTTTGTTGTACATCCGACTGGCTGCACTCCACTGTCTTAGGTGGCTTGGATGTGTTTCGCATGCCAAGCTAAGGAATGTTATGTCTCGCAGGGTTAAAGTCTAAAGCTTAGGGTAACCAGAAGGAGGGGTGTCACCAGTCTGCGAGATCGCGCTGTCATGCAAAAAGGTGTAGACTCCCTGCTTAGTACTTACCTTCAATTAAGTTGTATAGTCCCTCACCAATATATATTCCAAATCTTTAAGATCTTAAGCTGAAGGGTGAGGCAGCAACTCAGTAAACTACAGAAGTCATGCCAACAAAATCGCATAACTACATTAACATTGGATTAGCTGCTGGTCGAACAGTATGGAGGGAAATCAAAGGTGAAGACAATGTTTCTCTGCAGGAAGACTTAACTCGACTTCACAATTGGGCATTCAACAACGGGCTTGCATTTAATCCTGAGAAATGCAAGGTGATATACGTAAAACATGATGCATCTCATGTATATAGCCTCAACGGCATGGAACTTGAAGCGTCGCTGACGGAGAAGGATTTGGGCGTTTTAGTCCCCCAAGACTTAAATCCTATGCCAACTGTGACAAAAACACTTCGTGGGAACTCGGCGTTAGTAACTCTGAGACGAGTTTTTGGACAAATCGATCTTAGATGCTTCCACCAAATTTTCAACAGCTTCATACGGCCTCACCTGGAGTTCGAGACCATCGTCTTCCCTCCTTATCTCCAGAAGGACAAACTAAGCTTAGAAGGCATCCAGAGGCGTTCGACAAAATCTGTTTAGGTCCAAAACATACGAAGAACGGTTGGTTGCGCTGGATCTGTATCCTCTGGAATACAGGAGGCTAAGAGGTGACTTGATAATGACTTACAACATTCTGAGCACATCTGGCCACCCACCGTCATTTATTAAATCTTAGCTGCAGCGCTAATCTTAGAGGACATGCACAGAAACTAAGCCTGGAACATAGCAGGCTGGATGTCAGGCACAACTTCTATTCCCTAAGAGTTGTTAAACCCTGAAACGCTCTTCCTGACGATGTGATCCAGGCTACTTCATCTGAATCCTTTAAACTCCGACTGGATACCCACTTGATGTGTGTCTGGGATCTGCCCAGAACTAAGTGAATTTTCACATTTTAATCTCCACTTTTCCTCTTTCTTTACTTGTACACAGGCTAACAACCTCAAGGAGTAGTAGTCCACGGATTGTCGACGCGGAAGCCAGTTAAGCGAAAGCTTCTATTCGGTTAACCATTTGAACCATAATAGAGTTTAAGCTGCAATATTTATTATTGTCTGTGCAGGCAACGCAGCAACTACATACTACAAGATATGTTGTTATCAGTCACTAGTTTATCATTTTCTTAAGTTAGCTGTTTCTGGGTTGATTCACTAATGTTACCCCTGGTTTCATACTGGCATTAGATGTGTTTCCTGTCACATGATTGTTATTTCTTGGTACTTCTAGTGCTTGTTGTGACTTTTGATACTCCACTTCATCTACCGAAGTTTATCTCACCGTACAGTATTATCAAGTTTCAATATTGATCACGTATCCTTATTCGCATTCCCATACTTGTAGAGTTGTTACTAGTTCACCTGAGACTTAAGTACAACCTACTACTATATAAAAATCCTTATTATCAGCATGCTTTCATGTTATAGTTTTACACTCAGAGCTAGAAAAACAATATCGCTCTTATAGTTTGTTGCTCTCTCAGCTTTGATATTTTATCGTGAACGTTTCATCACCAGGCGCGGTGACATCTTCAGCACTAACTTCATGAAGAAGTGAAGCACATCCAAATGTTACACGGATCTTAAATTAGTGTTTTTACTAACTTTGGGGGTTGTCCAGTTATAAATTAAGGAAGAAATTGTTATCACACCCTGACCTCTTTAACCTTAAATTCCTCCAGTCGCGTCACTAGATATTCTTTGTTAGAGTGAAATCGCGCTGTTTGTTGCTTTCACACTCTGCATCATTGATTTGTGTGGTCAGTTTGTCCTTTGGTTGATAGATGACTGTTTTCATGCTAAGTAGATTGTCTGTTGATTGACATTTTGTTTAAGTGCCAAATTCTAGAAACTCTCTTGCAGCTTTCGAACCTGCTCTTTGGAGGATCTGCGCTTACCCTTTATCGAACTTGTGATCGTGGTTGTCTGCATACATTGAAACCAAGGAGGCGGTATCATGTCGCTTTACTGCTAGTTGGTGTTCATGCATTCCTTGAGCAATTTGACTTCTGAACTGGCCAGCATAATGCTGTGAACAATTTTTGCAATTGATTTTGTAGATTGTATTCGTTATATTTTCTTTTGGAAATGGATCCTTTGGTTTACACAACATGCTGTGTAGTGATTTCGTTGGTTGTTGTACTACTGTGATTCCGAAAGGATGAAGCAATCGTTTCACTATTTCAGAGATATCTTTGATGAAAGATAGTGTAACGCGCCTGTTAATTTGAGGCAGTTGCCTTGTCTTCTTGCTGATAAATAAAGTTAGGTGGATAATCATTGGCTTTGAACACTGTACAGATAATTTTTTCAGCTTTCCGTAGTTCATCAGTGCTGCAATGTGTTTTGGCTCTTGAGAATAATTTTTGAACACATTTCTTATGGACCGTAGTATGATGGCTGCTGTAGTTCGAAGTTTAATGTGTTTGGTTTTTCCATTCACTTGAGTTCGTAAAGTCCTGTCGTGTGTTCTACTGGTTAGGAAATCTTAGAATGAAAATTTGTCTTTGGATTCTTCTTCCCTTGTGAAGCGAATTCCCTTAAGTGTTTAGTTAATTAGCTTGGATGTGTTTTCTATTTCATCTTTCTTGCGAATTACGATTGTGTGGTCAACATACCGAATCCAAGTTTTTGGCTTGATGAAAGGAAGGGTTATTAATTCCAGCGGCTGCATCAGCTTCAGCAATCAATCCTGTTATTGGTGACCCATAGGTGTCCCTTTTGTTTGTGTGTAAATCTTTCCATTGGATTGCAGTAGGTTGTGAGACAGCTTAACCAATTCCACTAGGTTGGGAACCGTGATCTTCATATACTTAAAAAGAGTTTGATCGTTTAAAATAATATCCATCTTCTTGGCTGAATTTTGAGTCGATCGAAGTGACGAGTAAAGTCACATCAAAAGATATCATCCTTTCATCAATGCTTATCTTTGAATCTCTTATTTTGTCTAGAAGTTCAGTTGCTAAGCTGTGTTCAGTTTCATTGACAAGATGCTTCAGTTTTCTGTATAACTTTGATGAGTTGGATGGTGTTCCAGGTAGTAGTATGTCCGTTTGTCTTCATCTACCATTGTTGTTTTGTGATTTGGCTGGCTTTTGCTAAACTCCTCAGTTTCCTTTGGATCTAGTTGTCGTTTATTAATTCTTGTGCCTTTTTGACATGGTCTGTGTTGTCTATGATGATGGTTTCCTTCCTTTATCCGAAGGTAATATTACAATTGTCTTGTCAGTCATTGATTGTTCCAGTGCATTTCTTTCTTTTGTGCTCAGTAATTGTTGGTTTCCTTTGATTTTCACTAGAGGTACGGTTGGTTGATGTAGTTCCTGTTGTTGCTCAACATTTAATCCTGAGGTTTTCAGTGTGGACTCAGAAATCAAGCTTGTTTGCAT